TTTTAAAGGGCTAGGGATATGGCTCAGTGGTTAAGCACTGCTAGATTCAATCCCTGGCAACAAACAAACAAACAAAAAAATAATGTAAAGAGAACCCATAGAATAGGAGAAAATTTTCCCTAGCTACTCTTCTGATAGAGAATTAATATCCAGGATATAGGGGCTGGGGCTGTAGCTCAGTGGTAGAGCACTTACCTAGCATGCATGAGGCACTGGGTTCGATCCTCAGCACCACATTAATAAAATAAAATAAAGGCATTCTGTCCATCTAAAACTACAAAAAAATTTTTTTTAAATCCAGAATATATAAAGAACTAAAAAAAAAAAAACAACTAACACTGAGGAAAACAAATAACCTAATTAATAAACGGGCAAATGAGTTAAACAGACGATTCTTAAAAGAAGAAATACAAATGGCCAACAAATATATGAACAAATGTTCAACATCATTAACAACTGGGGAAATGCAAATCAAAACTAGACTGAGATTTCATCTCACAGCCAGAGCATGAACATGAACATGAACATGAACATGAACAAGCTGGGCATGGTGGCGCACGACTGTAATCCCAGCAGCTGGGGAGGCTGAGGCACGAGGATCAGCCAGCCTCAGCAAAAAGCCAAGGTGCTAATCAACTCAGGGAGACCCTGTCTCTAAATAAGTACAAAATAGGGCTGAGGATGTGGCTCAGTGGTTGAGTGCCCCTGAGTTCAATCACCCGCATCCAAAAAAAAAAAGGAAAAGGAAAATAAAAAGAACACGAATAATAATAAATGCTGGAGAGGATGTGGAGAAAAAGGGACACTTACACTGTTGTGAGATTGTAAATCAGCACAACCATTACAGAAATCAGTATGGAGGCTCCTCAAAAACCTAGGCATGAAACCACCATATGACCCAGCCATACCATGCCTCGGAATTTATCCTAAAGAACTGAAGTCATCATACTATAGCTATGCATACACACCCGAGTTTCCAGCAGCACAATTCACAATAGCAAACTAGGGAGCCAGCCTAGGTGTCTATCAACAGGTGAATGGATAAAGAAAATGTATCTATATACACAATGGAGTTTTATTCAGCCACAAGGAAAAGTGAAATCATGTCATTTGCAGGAAAATGGATGGAACCTGAGGATGTTAAGTGAAATGAGCCAAACTCCCAAGGTCAAGGGTTGCATGTTTGCTCTCATATGTGGAAACCAGAGAGAAAAAAGGAAAAGAAGGTGTGGGGGGTGGGCAGGCAACTCATAAATATGGAAGGGAGGTCAGTAGAGTAGAGGAAGGGGACCAGGGGGAGAGGGGAAGAAAGAGAAAGGGGAAATATCAGGGAATGATATTGGCCAAAGTATATTGCATGTACAAATGTGTATCAAGTCCCACCATGTGTACAACTATAATGCACCAACAAAAATATGGGAAAAAAGTTCCCTTGGAGCTTTGTATGTTATGACAGTAAGGAATTGAACAGTTCCCAAGTGCCCACGGCATGGAAGATTAGTACACCAGTACGTCCACTCAGTGGGATGTTTTATAATTTAAAAAATGTGCACAAGGAAAATACTGATGATAATGTTTAGTGAAGAAAAATTTATATTTATACACATGGGATCACTCATATATAAAATGTAAATGACAGCAAGATTTTTAAAATGTTCTACAAATGAACCTGGAAGAAAATACACCAAATGCCAAGTAGTTTGTTTCTAGGAAAGGACACTAGAGAAGGTTTTTTCCTCTCTCTCTCTCTCTCTCTCTCTTTGTACTTTCTTGAATTTCCTGATTTGTCTTTAACAAGCTATACTACTTTTAGGATGAAACCCATATTATTGTTTTTATTATTAGAGTAAAACGTGTCAGTTGCAGACACAATTCATACTGTAGAGAAATGTATGAAGCTGAAAGTCAACGTGTCTTTGCCTGATTCTCATCCTTTGTAGTGTTCAGAGTTCCTAGATCAGTAACGATGAACTTCCTTTCATACATGTTTCCTAAACAGGAACACACATTTTTAAAAGCAAAAATAGGATTGCAAACAAACGGGCACTACAGCTTGCACTTCTTTCCACTTAGGAGTCTGTCTTGCACACCTTTCCATGTCATGACATTTCTACTATAGACTTTTTTTTTTTTGTACTAGGAATTGAACCCAGTGGTGCTTAACCACTGAGCCACAACCCCAGCCCTTTTTATTTTTATTTTATTTTGAGACAAGGTCTCACCAATTTACTTAAGACCTTGCTAAGAATCTTTGAACTCTCAATCCTCTTGCCTCCGTCTCCTGAGTCGCTGGGGTTACAGGAGTACGACACCACACCTGGCCTTTGACTATAAACTTTATTGTTCTTAACAGATGCACAACATTAGTAGGTGCTTTATAATTCAGTTCACCATCCCTCGAGGATGATTTAGATTGTTTTTACTTGATCATTATTATATACAATGGTTCAGTTAATATTTTTATAATTTGTGTATGTTTGCATAGGTGTGTATTTGAATAACTGTGTGTAAACTATATGTAAATATAATACATATGTTAAAATCAGGTTAAAGATATTTCCTGTTATTTTGTGATCCAAAAATTTATCTGCTTTCTTTTATATTATTTTTTAGTGATGGACACAACCTCTTTATTTATTTATTTTTATGTGGTGCTGAGGATTGAACCCAGGGCCTTGAATGTGCTGGGCGAGCGCTCTACCACTGAGTCACAATCCTGGCCCCTTATTTGCTATTTTAAAGTTGGCATTGTGGGAGCTGAAGCAAATGGGTAAAATATTAGAGTAAAATATGATAAATCTAGAGGGTAGATACATAGGACCCTGCTATAGTCTTTTCTGCAGTTTCTACACATTTTAATATTTTTTTCCATATTTAAAAATCAAAAACAATTTAAAAGAAGGGGTGGAAAATAATGCGTATTCACTCCATTCACTCACTGTGAATGTTTAATGAGCACAGGCTCATTAAATAGAAACTGGCCCCGGGAGAGGGCTCAGTTTGCTTAATAATCCCTGAGATGCCTGGAAATGTACAAACACTCATGAATGTGGTGGTGCGGGGGTGGGGAACCCTGAGTTTACCCAGGGTCACTCCGGCAGGCACAGTTCTATGTGCTTTGTACGCATTATTTAATTTTAATAACAAAAGAGGTGGCAGTAAAACTAAATTTGATGACTTGCATGTGATAAATGTGTGTTAAAATTATACAATAAACATGCAGAAAATGAAGTCAGCAAAGTAGGAAAAAAACAATTTGTGAAAAGTACTCAGAAGGGCCTGAGGTGGGTCCCTTGTTGAGGCAATGCCAATGCATGACCCTAGACAACCTCAAGTTAAGTGACAGAACCAAGGCAGAGAGGTGGGTTCTGAGATGTTTGGGGGGCACTGGAGGTTGAACAGGGGACACTACAGCTGAGCTATACCCCAGCCCTTTTGATTTTTCATTTTGAGACAGGGTCTAATTGCCCTGCCTCCGCCTCCTGAGAAGGAGAGATGAACTGACTAAAAACATTGCCTGGGGTTCCCAAGCAGGAAACTAGGCTGCATCATTCTCTGTTTCCAAACACAGATTGTCTTCCACATGCAGGTAATCTAGCTTCTAGACCTTTCTGAATTGACTCTCCATTTTCTTCTAATCTCAGGCCTGGAAATCTTAAAAACTTTCTCCTTTTTTGGCACCTGGGATTGAATCTAGGGGTGCTTAACCACTGAGCCACATCCCCAGCCCTTTTTATTTTTTAGAGACAGGATCTTGTTCAATTGCTTAGGGCTAAATTTCTGAGGCTGGCCTTGAACTTGTTATCCTCCTGACTTGGTCTCCTGAGTTGCTGAGATTACAGGCATCAGTTGTGCACTACTGTAACTGGCTAAAAGCTTTTCTTGATGTGTATCATTTTATAGCTAATACATTCACATGACCCAAAAGTCAAAAAGTGCAAAATATATAGAAGAAAAAAAAAATCTCCTTTTCACCTGTCCCTATCTACACATTTCTTCTCCCAGAGACAACTTTTCTTCCTTTTCTCTCTCTCTCTTTTTTTGGGGTGCTAGGATAGAACCCAGGGCCTTGTGTGTGCTAAGCAAGTGCTCTCCTGATGAGCTACACCATTAGCCCTGTTTCCAGTTTCTTGTCTGGCCTTCAGAGATATCTACGCACAGATAAACAGACATATATAGATATATAATTTTTAAACATAACTGGGAACATGATTTTTGCTATTCTATACTTTGCACCCCACCCCAGGCACCTATCAGTACATAAAGCACTCTCCCCTTTCCATTTTAATGGTTGCATAGTACTCCGCAGTATGAGTACACCATTTGCTTCATTGTTGCCTTCTTTTTTGCTCTCACAAGTGAGGCTGCAAAGTGCCTGACCTTTAAGCCTGTCTTTCTCTATATTGTGAGTTTACCTGTAGGATGGAATTTCAGAGGGAAATTGCAGGATCAGGAGGCGTGAGAATTTGGCCTTCATAGATATTTACCAGATTGCCTTCTAAGGGTTTGTGCTAATTTAAGCTCCCACCAGCAACAGAGGGATTCCCCCAGCCTTGCCAAGTCAGCGTGTTTTCAAAGTTTTGGTCCCTGACAATCAGATGGATGAAAACTGAGTTGTATTTGAGCCAACCACCAGGCATTAAAGAAAAAGGCATGCGCGCGCACACACACCCAAAATGCAAACATTTTCGGGGGTGAGGGGGTGCTAAGCTGTCTGCTATTTTGCATATGAATAACATAAATCTTAGGCATCAGTCAAAACCTGCCTCAAGCCTGGCTCAGCGGCACATGCCTGTAATCCCAGCGGCTCTGGAGGCTGAGACAGGAGGATCAAAGCCAGTTCAAAGCCAGCCTCAGCAACAGGGAGGCACTAAGCAACTCAGTGAGACCCTGTCTCTAAATAAAATACAAAATAGGGCTGGGGATGTGGCTCGTTGGTCGAGTGTCCCTGAGATCAATCCCCAGTACCAGAAAAGAAAAAAGAAATGCACCTGCCTTAAGCAAAGCAGTCTGCTCTGAGCTGCTCTGCGCCGCTCCCTCCCGTCCCCCCCAGCCCGGGATGCCCCGATGGAGAGGCCCGCGCCGGTCCTGTGCCTGTTCACGCTGGTCCCCCCCGCCTCCCAGGCACCCAGCAAACATCGATGGGGTGAAGAGGCGCGCGGGGGCTGGCCCCTGGGTGGGACCCCAGGCTGTGGGCGGTGGCTGGTGGGACCCAGGATACACTGGTCGTCGATGCTGTTCAGCGTGAAGCGGGTGTTGGAGAACCGGGCGAAGCCGTCGCGGTAGAGCCAGGCCCGCAGCGGGATGTACTGAGGCGGGGGCGGGGGCGGGGGCGGAGGTGACCCGGGTGCCCGCTGGCACCCGGCACACCTCGAGCGCCTTGGGGTCCTCCACCTGGAACCGCCCCCTCTTCCTTTCTACCTCCTCTGCGAGCGCCGCGCTAACGTCACCCCTTGACTCCACCCCGTCCTTCCCTGGGGCGGTGGCATGCAGGAGGGAACCAAGGTGCTGGCCATCACGTGTGACACCCCGCCAGAGTGAGAGGTTCAGGAGGAAAGGGGCCAATCCTGTCTCAATCCGTCTGTGGCCTTGTGCCCAGGGAGGAGTGGCACACCGAGGGCTTCGGCGTTTGCTGAATGAATGAATGAGTGAGGGGCGGGGGTGGAGCGAGGTCAGCGACTCCCTAGTTAAGAGAGCAGCCTGGAGCCAGGCTGTCTGGATTTGAACCCCAGTTCTGCCATTCACTCGCTGTGTGCCTTTGGGCAAGTCACTAAACCTCTCTGTATCTGTAAAATGAGGATAATAATAGAACCTACTTCACTGTGTTATTGGAAGGACTGAAGAGATACAACCTGCTGGGTACTAACTAGGGCCTGGTACTTAGTAGGTGCTCACTACATGTTCACTGTGGTTACCACGGATGACTGAATGATAAAGAAGGACAGGCAAGCAGGGCATGGTGGCTCAGGCCTGAAATCCCAGTGACTCCGGAGAAAGGATCATGAGTTCAAAGCCAGCCTCAGCAACGGCAAGGCGCTAAGCAACTCGGTGAGACCCTGTCTCTAAATAAAATTCAAAATAGGGCTGGGGATGGGGCTCAGTGGTCCAGTGCCCTGAGTTCAATCCCTGGTACCCCCTGCCCCCCCCCCCCCCCAGAAGGACTGGCAAATCCAGATGTTGGAACACCTAGGATAATGAAACTGAGGTGTATCTGGTGGCCCACTCCAGCCCTAGATGTCCCCTCTGAGCTCTCCTGGGCAGAGAGAGAGGCTCACACAAGCTGCTCTCAGGCCGGCGCCCTGTCCCCTGCCCTGGTGACTCACCGACATCACCAGCACATAGACACGCAGGTCAAACTTGCGTCCTGTCAGGCAAAGAAAGAATTAATCGGTGGAGCAAATACTGGTTACCAGATGTTGGGGTGCAGCAGTGCAAAGACGGAGCTCCCCACAAAACACGTGAGGAGCCAGGAGAGAGGAACTGGGGGGTCCCTGTTGGGGAAAAACCTGTGACTTAGTGGCCAAGGAAAGCCCCTTGGGAAGTGGTGGCCTGCCAGTGAAGAAGGGGCCCACCTGACCCAGAGGGGCACAGGGCCTTCGGGCAGGACAGAGGCCCTGAGGGGGCAGAACCGGGCCAAGGGAGAGACAGGAAGGGGATGAGGGGCGTGTGGTTGGTGGGGTCCCCGCGATCTCTGGGGTTTATTCTACAAACCGCAGGAAGCTGCTGGAGGGTGTCTGATGCCTCTGGCTATTGGTGCTGCTGTCCAGGGAGAGGACAGTGGCCAGGATCCAGATGGAGGCAAGAGGCACAGAGGTGAGAGGGGTGGCAGACAGCTGTGTGGGGGCTGGGGGTGTTGCTCAGTGGTAGAGCACTTGCCTAGCATGCATGAGGCCTGGGTTCCACCCCCAACATGCAAAACCAAAACCAAAAAATCAGACAGGATGGGGCGGGGGGAGAGACCCAGGGGCTGCCCCCTGGGGAGGGTCATTGGCCCAGGAGATAGTGGAGGGGAGGGGCACTAACTCTGTTGCAATGAAGTGCCACCTACAAGAGCCCCCAGACCCTGTCCCTTCTCCCCTGTGTGGGCAAAGGGAAGAGGCTTCCTGGGCCTCAGAGAGGAAGCCGGCTCCACCAGGAGCCTTTGTCCTTGCCATTCCCTCTTCCTGTTTTCTCCCTCCAGTTCTACCTACAGATGACTCCCAGGTGTCACTGGGTCCCCTGACCCTGCCTGATTTACTTCGCAATGGCTGCAGCTGTGTGGGATTCTTGTATTTCTTTGCTCTCTGGCTTAAGGCTGTCCCCTCACCTAGGGTAAAAATAGACTCCACAGGAGCAGAGCCACAGCGGGCACCCAGGCCAGCGGCTGGCACTGAGGAGGGGCGTCATACTTGTTGGGTAAATGCATACGTGAAAGAATTGGTTCTCAAAGGAGAATTTTCATGAATCCAGAGCGGGAGGGAAGGCACGTCAACCACAGGGAATCTATGGGCAGCAGCCAGGACAGATCTTTCCTGTGCATCCCCCTGCCCTGAATGTGAGCCTGGGCCCTCAGTCGCAGCTAGTCAAGGTTTGCTGAGTGAGTGAGTGACTGGTCAGAAGGGCAGGGAGCTGGGGACAGCCATCTCACCTCCAATCAGGTATGGATTTTCGATGTAACGCTGAGCTACGTAGTTCTCCACAGGGATCTCATCTCTTTGGTCATCAGAATTTCTTGGGTCCTAGTTGCAATAATATTAGTAACATTTATTGAGCACTCTTGTGTACAAGGAATTACGTTAGGCACTCTACTTGGGATATCTTTTTTTTCTTTTTCTTTTTGGTGCTGGGGATTGAACTCAGGGCCCTTAACCACTGAGCCACGTCCCCAGAGCCCTATTTTGTATTTTATTTAGAGACAGGGTCTCACGGAGTTGCTTAGAGCCTCATTAAATTGCTGAGGCTGGGTTTGAACTCTCGATCCTCCTGCCTCAGCCTCCTGAGCCACTGGGATTACAGGTGTGTGTGTCTCTCCGTGCCCGGCCCTTTCACAATTTTTTGAAAGGAAACAAACAAAAACTTTAGTCCTTCAGTATCAGTGGCCACGGGACAAGTGCTCGATATGATGTCCACATGTGGCCAGTGGTCAGATACTAGACAGCTCAGATATGCTCTGTTGCCATCACTGCAGAAAGTCCTGTCAAGGTGCTGCCACAGGGCATCAGCAGCCCCTGAGGCCCGGAGGCCATCCCTGGCCCTTCTCCACTTGCCCACTCAGCTGGGGACGATGCCATGCTCTCACACAGGTGCACAGCCCTCCAGGTCTGCAAACTTTTTTACCCATTGTCCCCTTCACAGTCACCTGATGAGGAGCCCAGGCTCAAAGACAAGGGTCACATACTTCCTGGGCTCACACAGTGGCCCTGTGCTGGGAACACTCTCCTGAGCAGACTCCCCGCAGACCCCCACACTGCTCCCCACCCCGACAGCCAGACTTCCCTCCAGGGACCTCGGCCACCCCCTCTACTCACATGGCTTCCAGAGGAATTGATGGAGTAGCGGGAAGGCTGGGCCTCAAAGCCCTGGAACTTCTTGCAGGCAGTGCCCTGACAGGTGCCCAGGGAAGAATGGGGACGCAGGCAGCAGGGGGAAGTGCATTAATTGAGCACCTGCTGTGAGCCCACAGGAGTCAGGTCCTCCAGCTCCCCCCACCCACCCACCATCTCACTGCCACGGTTCAGAGGGCTTCAGTGATTTCCCCAGGGACACATGTCTGTTGAGAGGCCGAGGCAGGATTTGACCCAGGATTTCTACTTGCCCAAGGTCACACAGCTATTGTTTGCAAGGTCAGAATTTGAACCCAAACAATCTGGTTCCAATAACCCTGCTCTGTGGGCAGGCCTGTGCTGGCTCTCTGAACTTGGAAGGGAGAGGAGGCGAGAGGGCAGAGGACGTGTGGAGAGCAAAGGGAAAGAGGCAGACTCACCTTCCTCCAGTCCATGATGTCCTTCAGTCTCCGGAAGAGGAAGATGCCCTTGCCCTGGGACCGGGCTACCTGAGGGGAGGGGTGGGGGACACGGAAAGGCCACTGTCAGCTTGGTAGTTTCTTGTTGACCTCAGTACCTGGGAGCCCTCCCCAGCGTTTCTCTATGTCCTTCCCCCGCCCCAAACCCCTCAGGCCCAGAAAAATGGTCCAGGACCCCCCCCCCAAGGCCTGGGAGAGCAAAGATGCTAAACACAGGAGGGAGCTCAGACAGGAGGGGGAGGAGAGACTCCTCTGCGCACAAAGACGCGCATTTGCATGAATAATGCAGAAGAGGAGACAATTAAAAAGCCATTCCTACAGTCCTGGGAACATATCATCCAATTCTTTTTTTGGAAATCAATTTGCCTTCCTAATTAGGTTTTGCTTCTGCTAATACCGAAATCAGTCTGCCTGTGCTGAACTTCAGCATGGAGAATTCACAGCTCACAGGGGCTGGGGCCCAAGGATCTTGACTGCGCTGCAGAGTGGTCCTCCTGTGTGTAAGGGGGCCCCAGCGGCCCTTCCACCCTGGTCACCTGTCAGATCTTGCACATCCACAGTACCCAGCAGCTCAGTCACCCTCTCCTCACCCCCAAACACAGCCCATCTGTTACAGGATAGCTTTGCAAAGTGTTCATCCAAAATGTATATATTGGGTGCCTACTGTGTGCTGGATGTTACGCAATAGCTGTGACAGACGGCAGGAAGCGTTCCCAGTCTAACCTGTTTTGAACTGAAATTTGCCAGCCAGGCCTGGCTTCTAGGGCCTCCTGGAGCAGGTCTGATTCCTGGAACCACCCTATGGTTATCTGTGGCTACTGAGCCTGTCCCCAGAGTCACCTTTATTTCAGCACAAATGCAACCAGCAAGTGCAAATTCTCATCTCTCTCTGTTCTCCTCTGAGCATGGGCCACCTGGACCGCCAAGGCCTTCTCTATAAACTCGGGGTTGGCAGAGCTGCCACAGGGCTGTAGGTTGCCCGTCGGTCGTGCTGAGGCCCCCTGCCCTGCCTGCCCTCTGTGCACCCGGGTTCAGGGTTATGTGTGCCCAGAAAACAAGGTGGACACAGTGAACAGGTCCTGGGCTTCCCTAGCCACCAGGGAGACGCAAACGAAAATCACACTCCCTGAGCAACAGCAAGTGCTGGTGACACTGGAGAAGCGGGAACTCCCATATGCTGGACAGACAGGCACATCCCTAGGAGGGTCACAGGGCGGGCCTTCCGGGAAACTGAGGCAGTGTGAAGACCCCCCTTCAAACCCTGATTCTGCGATCGAGTCAGAAAGATTCTGATTCTGCCATCGAGTCAGAAAGATTTCAGACATGTCACTCGGAGTAACAGGCGGGAGTTTATTGAAGGGATAGGGAAAGGGATACTCCCGCAGAGAGAGTGGGTCCTCTCTGAGAGGAACAACGTGGCTCCCCTGCACTGGTTTTCCTGAGATCCCAGAGAAGTTTCCAGAGAGTCCTGCCCAGGTCCACCTCTTGGCTTTTGACTAACAGCAGCATGACATCACACTATCAAGTCCCCACTGCCATGACAACCCTAGGCACTTTGTCCCATGCTGATGGGTTCTGGTTTTTTTTTTTTTTTTTTAATATTTTTTAGTTGTAGATGGACACAATGCTTTATTTTGTTTATTTATTTTATGTTATGCGAAGGCTCGAACCCAGGGCCTCACACATACTAGGGAAGAGCTCTGCCACTGAGCTACAATCCCAGCCCCCTAATTGGATTCTTAGCCATATATTCTTATGTGGTTTTATGATCAGGAGGAATTATGCTTATCTCCCTGAGTTTCGGGATCTGGTCTGTGGAAAGGGTTACAAAAATCCCCCCCTCAGGGAATTTGGTTCCTTTATTCAACATTATTTCGGGCCTGCATTTCTCCTGCAGACAACAGGTAGTTTGCTGAGGAATGTGACAGAGCCTGTCCACCTAAGCCAGGCAGGGCTGCAGGGAAATTGCTTCTTGGAAAAGAAAGCATGTGGGGGTCAGCACAGCAGGGCCGTCTTATATAATTATTCCCTTAACCTTGTGTTCCCACCAGCCTCATCTGTCTGTTACATGTCAACAGCACCATTCATAAAAGTGCCAACCTTGGAAATACTTTCTCAGTGGAACAGTATACAGCAATGACAGTTAGCAATTCCCAATTACTTACACCCGTAGGGTGAATCACATGACTAAACTGTTGAGGGAAAGAACTAGAAACTGTGGAAATATTCGTATTCTGAGTATATCGAGTACAGAATCAGAGAGAACAAATCTGTGCCGTCAGTGGCTTAGGGGGTCGTGAATGGAGGAGGTCAGAGGGGAAACGCTGAGGGGCTGGTAGGGTTCTGTTTGTGACTTGGGTGCTGGTTACTTGGATGTGTTTACTTTGTCAAAATTCATAGCAGACCCCTATAACGTGGGCACCTTTAAATGTTTATCTTCAATTAAAAAGTGTCTTTTAGGGGCTGGGGTTGTGGTTCAGTGTGAGGCACTGGGATAGACCTAAGCAACACATAAAAATAAATAAATAAAATAAAGATATTGTATCCATCTACAACGAAAAAAAAAATCTTTAAAAAAAATGTGTCTTTTAAGGCATCTATGTACCCTTTGATCTCAGAACCCCTCTCACCCCGGAAGCCATTCTCCCTCTGTTTCCTTGCAGGCAAAGTCCCTCTCTCTGCGATGGGGCTAGAAAGGCTTCCTACTCGTTTTCCCAGCTTCCCTTGCAATTAGCATGAGCCAGTTTGGGCTAATGAGACCTAAGGAGACATCTTCTTATCCATTCTGGGGAGATTTTCCTCTGTGTTAAAAATATAAAGAGAGAGGGAGGGGCCAGGTGCAGAGGCTCACATCTGTAATCCCAACTACTGTGGAGGCTGAGGCAGGAGGATCGCAAGTTCAAGGCCAGCCTCGGCAACTTAGCAAGACTCTGTCTCAAAATAAAAAAATAAAAATAAAAGAGCTGGGGATTTAGCTCAGTGGTTAACTAACCCTGGCACCAAAGGAAAAAAAAAAGAAAGATAAAAGAAAAAAATTAAGAGAGAGAGCAGAAAGGGAACACAGGGAGGGAGAGGGGGCGTCAGAGAGACAGACAGGGAGAGAGACGAGAAGAAATGTCTGGCCCTTCCTTCTTTTTTGCTTTTTTCCGAGGAGGTGAGGTCTGCAGTCACAGCAGCCATCTCATAGACATGAGGTGACAGATCTGATGACTAAACACAGGGAGGAAGCAGAGTGGACAGGGAGAAGACCCAGGGGGCCCTCAAGGCATCGCCATGCACATGCCCCAACCTGGAATGGCCGACCTCCAGCTCTCTCGTTGTGTGAGATGATGAAATGTCCTTATCGGTTAAATCACTGTAGTAACTTGACAAACCTGTTCCAAGAGATGCCCCCCCCCCAAGGGAATAATCTAAAAGTGAAAATAAACTTCCTGCACAGTAATAGATCAGGGTTGTTAAGACTGGAAGTCACCTAGAGCTCCGGCAGATGGTGTTTCCAAAACCAATCACAACATCTCCAGTCCCGTATGTTCTCTAGAACCCCACCAAGAGGTAAAGTCAATGTCCCCTCCCCTTGAGTGGGGGCAGGGCTTCAGTACGGTCACAGTTAATGGTGTGTGGAAGAAGTGGCAGGGTGAGAATTCTAATGAGGATCAGGAAAGACAATGTGGTTTCTACCCAGCCATGATGCAGAGCCCAGATGCCATGCTGTGAGGAAGCCCAAGTCACATGAGGGGCCCACAGGGAGGACAGCTGAGTCTTCTAGCCCTTACCCTGGCTGGGCTCCCAGCCAGCAGCCAGCACCATCTTGCCAACCCAGCGAGTGAGGCCAAATTGGAAGCATCCTCCAGCCTCGGCAGAGCTGCCCCAGAGGATGCTGGTGCACAGATGAGCCTTCCCTGTCAAGCTCCAGTTGGAGGCTCATGAGCTAAAAACAAGAGGTTATTATTGTTTCAGGGCCTTCCATTGGGGTGGTTTGTTACTCAGCAATAGGTAACCAGACTTATTACAATGATTATGTTCATGGCTGATACTTACCAGTTTACCTTGTGCCAGGCTTCTATGACATGGGCATTGATAGTATTCCCATTTTCAACCAAGGAAACCAAAGAACAGAGAGGCCAAGCATATTGCCCCAAGTCATCCAGCCAGCGGGTCATAAATCCAGGATAGTGAAATCTGTGCTACACAATTCCGGGACTCATGTACCTCTTGCAGAGTGCCATGGGATACACAGAATCATACAGCAAGCATGGGGTAGCTTCTGGGAATATTACTTGATAACTTGGGAGGAAAATATTTTTACATATAAAGATACATTTATGATTGGAAAACATTTAAATGGATTATTAGAATGAAACATAACTTTGGTTTTGTACCAAATGTGGCCATTCACAGTCCTTGTCCCCTTGCCAAGAACCACATTTGGGTCACCCTGTGGGTTGTCCAGCCCTCTGGAGAGGTCTGAGCCCTCATGCTACTGCCATGGGATTGGATCAGGCGTTAATCTACAGCACGGGAAGTCTGCTGCTGAGACTTCTGGGAAGAGTTTGTGACTTCTTCAAAAGTGACACAAAACCAGGGCATTCCTGTATTCCCATGGCATGTAGAGGTATAAGGAGGTGAAGGTAGAGCTGTGGCAACCACATTGTGCCCAAGAGGAACCATCTGCCTGTTGGGCTAGGAATTGATGGGGTTGTCGAGCTGCCCAAAACCATCCCCTGTCCAGCTATTCTTCATTAAAGGAAATTCCCCTGGACCTCTGAATTTGAATGAGAAAAACAACATCTTCCTTTTGACACCCTGCCATGTACCCTGTGTTCCCTTCTATGATGAGTGTGGTCAACACATCATAGGAGTATCTGCCATCAGAAGCAATCACAGCTATTTTTATGTATCACATTACAATTGTTGCTGATATCTCAAGATGCTGTTTATGCACCTGTGGTTTTGAAATTATGATAGTGCGGGGGTCTGCTGTTAATGAAGAGCACGTATATTCTATAGCACAGAGGGTCTTTTAATAATGT